ATTCACAGAACTTGCTTACCATTTAATTTATTTTTCTGAGTGTGGTTTATTTTAACCTACCTACTGAATTTTATTTCCTATTGATTCAAATAGACTGACGGGGTGGAAGACACTAGGGGAGATACTCTGTCCCTTTTTCTCCACAGAACAAGACCCATCTAGATCTTCTAGGTCCCCTTTCCTCTCTTGGAGAAGATGAAAGCATTGAAATGTTGAGAAGTTTCTGCTTTCAGTTGCAGTAGGACTTGGCTATGAGAAAAAAAATCAACTAAATCCCAAATGAGAGGAAGGCAGTTTAAAGTCCTTCATTTGCTTCAAAAGGGTCTGCATGTTGGGTGGGGGTGGGGGGAAGCAGAACAACTGTGTTTCATTATTATTATTATTATTATTATTATTATTAATTATTATTATTATTCAAAAGTAATTTATTGCTGGGGATAAACATTGGGTAGCAAAAACTTTAATTTGCACTACCAGTCTCCCAAATAGAAAATCATGTATAGTATTCATAGTAATAATCGAGGTACTTTATGAACTGCTGATGGATTAAAAAATGAGAAAGACAGTTGAAGGTGGTTAGGTAAAATGCCTGCTTGGTGCACAAGACACTCTTTTGATCTTGTGCGTGGAGATGGTTTAGTACCATCCTTTAATAAGAACTAAAAAATTGAAAACAAAAGAAATGGGAAAAGAAGAAAACCTGCCATTTAACAAGACTGAAATCATGCATGATCTGAGAAGTACAGAAAGAAACACAATTAGGTTTCACTCTGGTTAGATATTATTTATTTAATTATGTGGTATATCATTGTTTGCAGCGCAAACATTCTATGCATTTGAAACTGAGCACTAAACTGGGCTAGCTTTCTGATAGACCGTTTTGTGGATAGTGTGATTCACAGTCTACTGCCTGTTTTCACCGAAAACACAACATTCTTATCATATTCTTGTATTTAGAGGAAAAGTAAAAAAGGAAGATTATTGTAAATATTTTCTTTAATACACACACTCACACAGTGGTTATAAACTGCCAGTGTTAATCTGAAATGTCTTATGGGTTGATCTACCTGTCCATGTATGTCTGCTGAGCTTTCTCCTTGGTTATATCTTTGCTCTATTTTCTTTCCCTTCCCCACTTCTATCAGAACCATTTCTGTGCGCCCAAATACAACAGGGAGATGTGTCCCAGTACACTTACAAATAAAACATAACTGAAAGAAGAGCAGTTTTATGATTTGGGTGAATTTTTGTGTCTATACTGGGCCAAGTCCTGGTAGAGAGGATCAGCAATGAGACTCAATTCAACCAAAATATAGGGGAGGATGTTGAAGAAAGGGGGATAAGAGGAGAAAGGGTGAGAATGATGTTTTTTGTTGTTGTTGTTTTTTCTCTGAATCAATTCACTTTCAGACAACTCGTGAAAAGTGGTGCTCTGACTAACATGAATTCTATATTAGTTGCCTGTGTTTATCAAAGTTTTTTTTGTAACTGCAGAAACTCTTAAGCCACAGCCCTCACTTCAGAGTGGTGGAAGATAGTAAAATAATCAGGCACCCCAAAAATAGATAACTAGAGGTTCAGGGACAGACAGAGACGTTTGGAGATTTATAAGTGTTGTTTTAGCCTAACAACGTTTCTTTAGTAATGTTGTATCTAAATGACTTTTCTTTGGAGGTTAATAATTATCAAAACCATCCACCAGTCTGTCCTGCCACCAGGTCAAATGCCTCTGTTCATTTGGAACATTTAGTGTGCCATCTACTGCTCCAGAGAGACCAGAGATTCTTTATTTTTTGGTGACCTGGGACTAGATCAGATGCCAAATGTACAAAGTTTCTTAATAGCTGGGATTATATCTTCTGAAGTCATCCTACTTTAGCCAAACCTTTTAAATTTCACCGGCAAATCTGTGAAACAAAACACTTGATGTTCAGAAAAGAATAGTACATTTAAAAAGCTGTGATTTTAAACAGTTGTTAATGTTTAAAAAAAAGCATTTAGAGGTATTTTTAAAAATAGATCTCTTCCATCAAAATTGATTTTTTTCTGTCGTTATTGACTTGAAATGTCATAAAAGTTTTTAATAAAATGCATTTGTAAAAAAAAAAAAACCCACGTTATTTTATAGAAAAGTATGACCGGATTTCATTATTGGAGAACCAAGAATGAGCAGATGAAAAGATTTACAAAGGCTGCTTTTAAAAAAATATGCCCCAAATGAAATGTTGCAGGCAAATACATTTGTGTTATGTAATGATGACCAATGTATGTAATAAGAATCTTAAGCATTTGTTTTGTATTAAGTAAACTTACCAAATGAAAAGAAGACAATATTATGTTAATAAAACATTATGAAAATATGTGCTTTGCAGAGTTTCCTATTTTCTGTAGTAGGAAACTGTGCAAAACAAGAAATGCTTTGCTATCTGCTGAGTGAATCTGTGCATGGGAGAAGGAATAAGACTATTCTAAGACACCTTTAACTGTCAATTCAAGCAAACAAATACCCTCTTAAAGAAAATGCAAAGGCTTGCCACTCAGCAGTAGTTTGCCTTTCAAAGTTTTCTGGTTCTGAAGAGCGTAATTTCACGCTAAGTGGATTCACAGCACCAGTGGGTGGAAATAGCAAGATGTGTGGCTCCGGCTCTTTTAAAGAATAATTTCAAAATAAGTTGGAGAGTGGGAAAATTGTTCTCCGTTTGCATTTTAGCTTCTCAGGAAATCCAGGCGGTGGTGGAGTACGAAAGGTAAAAGAAAAATAAGCATAAAATGCACCTGTCACGTTTGTGCCATCCATTCATTTTAAATTTTCTCGTTTCCCCAGTCCTAACTCCAGGTCCTGCTCCTTTTGTAGGTCTAATAAATGATGTTCTCAAGATACACCAACTAACTTCTGAATAAATTTTTGTTTAATGCGTGTTCTGAAATTGCTCTCAACTTCGATTACACTCACATAAATAAACCGTAGGCACCCACTGCCGTGATTGTATCGATTTTTACTTTGTGAAAAACTTCTTCGGTCCCGTTCCTACAGGTGGCAGCGCCTAGAGAGGACAGGGCGCCCTGGCTCTAGGACCTACCTGGCCAGCTCCCGCACTTGGCCCCAGGCTCTGTCGCCCGGGCGGCCTCTCCCGCCAACCCGGCGTGAAGCATTCCCCGCTCCATCTTTCACGTGGATGGGCTTTCATAGTCTAGACCGTGAGGTTGGAATTGTGACTTCTGACCCTGTCTAAAAGCAGCGTTCCCCACCTCATTCGATCGGCCTTAGTGGCTAGCGGGATGATAAAGGTGATGACAACAATTATCTGGTATGGTTCTGCTTATCGGTGTTATTGCCTCGCAGTCTTAGCCCCACGACGAGAGCCACAGAGTCCTCGCGCGCGGTTTCAAAGGAGACCGCAAGCTTAATTGATTTAAAAAAAAAATAGCAGCCGAATTCTAATTCTCACGGGGGCCTCTTTTCCACCTGCGAGATAAGCCTTGTCGCAATAATTACGTTATTTAATATTTGATCAAAACTTCATGCCACTGTCGGCGCCCGGCCGGCTCACGCCCTCCGGGCAGCTGGCTAGCAGCGCGGCTCCAGTCGGGGCGGGAACGTGTGACGGAGGCGCGCCGCCGCCCGGCTCGGGTTGGCTTGCCGTTTGAATAATTCATGGCTTGAGAGTTCTGGAAATTATCAAAATGAATGGTAACAAGAAGCTAATTAAAAACTTTCCTAATTGTTTCCAAGTAAGCTTGATGGGGAACAGGCAGCCCTCCCTTTTCCCCGCCCCCAAATCTGGTGGATTTACAAGGCTGGGCGCGGGCCAGGAAGGGTCTCGAAACTCGAGCGGCCAAGTGCTCCTCCGACTCCCGGAGCTATTTCAGAGGCGAGCGACCTCGGGGGGTCGGCCGCTTCTCCTCCAGCCGTCGCCGTCTACTGCTCGGTCGACTCCTCAGCGTGACTTTGGACTTTGGGACAGTGGGTTGGCGGGAGGGGACCCACCTTCCCCAACCCAGGCAGGGTGCTCGCTTTGCCATGGAAACACCCACCCACCCGGGGCCGACCACGCGGGGAATCTCAGCGCCCCAAGAGTGTGAGCCGCAGCCAAACGACCGCGGTATGTGCGGTTTGCGCCCCTCCGCGGGAGACTCGCAGCCTGGAGGCTTCTCGTTGCGGAGGCTGCAGCTCCTGACAGCCACCGAACTGCCGGTTCAGGCCGGAACTTGAACAGGCCACGGAGGCCGGAGTTTGTCGACCGCCCGAGGCCCGAGGCCTGGCGCGCGTGCGCAGGTGTGGCCAGAGGGGCGCGGACCGCGGGGAGCGCTGGGCGGAGGGGCGCGCACCG